GGCATGCGATTTTTGGTTATTTATCCAAAACTGGAGTTCATTCGTTTGTTAATGTGAAAAGCACTTCAGTTACACCTCTGATCTATTCCTCTCCTGTCATGTACAACACCACTCAAAATTGCCCACGGGAAAATCCCACCAAATATTTATTAATAACATCTTTGTTTTGAAGCGTAGGAAATAAATCAGAACCATGCGTTCAGCTGTATCCTATTAAGGGGCAATTATCACTAATTGGAACAGCATTTATAGAAACCACTGTGAATTATCCATTATGTTATTGTGTAACAATAGATTGTTTCAGAGACGCTATACGGCGCAGCACACAAGTGATGACTTTTCTTCGCTTTGAGCTTTAAACAATAACAGTGTTGTGTAGAAGTTACATGTCAGCACAGATGTAGCCAATTTTCTGCCCTTTCAAGCATATTATTAGTACTTTCAAAGAAACTTTCAGTATTTTTGGATTGATCTCTGAGCTGTGGATCATTTGTGGAAACGTATAGCTTCCCCATTGCATTATAAAGAAATAGTTCCCCCCAAAATAAATTTACTTACCCTCAGGCTTTCCAAGACAAGTTTGTTTCTTCCAATGGATCCTCTGAAGTGAATGGGTGCCGTCAGAATGAGTCCAAACAGCTGGTAAAAACATCACAATAATTTACAACTAATTCACACAACTCCAGTCCATCAATTAACATCTTGATACAGTAATTGGAAATCTACATGTTTGTAATAAACAAATTCATCTTTTAGAGTTTTTAACTTTTTTTAAAAAAAGAGTCCTTTATCTATTATTTATAATATCGCTTTCTTCAATGAAAAAGTCATCTCGTCTGAATCAGGAGAGAAATATGCACAGATCAAACACCGTTCACAAGCAAAAACAGTCCAAAACCATTTTAAACAAATATGTTGGTGGATTTTAATGTGAGAGGACAACAGGGGAGAAATTGTTATTATGGATTATGGACTGGTATTTTTCGCCAGAAGCATCAGTTTAAAGTTAAAATGCCTTAATGATGGATTTGTTTATTACTTTATATTTTATAGTTTATTGTTTATAATTGATGGACTGGAGTTGGCTTACTTGTGGATTATTAATGTTTTTTATCAGCTGTTTAGACACTCATTCTGACGGCACCCATTCACT